TGTGTTGGCAATGGAAAACAGATCAGGCCCAATGGAATTCTAAATGTGGGAGGTTTACAGACTTTGTGGAATCATTGATAGTTTTTGGAATATTGTGACTTGTTTTCCCAGAAGTAAAACAAAAAGATATATAACATTAATAATTTGAAGAGTAGAAATATAATGCACATAGGCCAGGTGTAGTGGCTTGTGCCTACAATCCCAGCACTTTGGGAGGTGGAGGCAAGAGGATTGCCTAAGTCCAGAGATTTGAGATCAGCCTGGGCAACTTGACTAGTACTCATCTCTAAAATAAATTAAAATTTGCTGGGTGTGATGGTATGTGTCTGTAGTTCCAGCTACTTGGAAGACTGAGGTGAAAGGATTGCCTGAGTCCAGCAGGCCAAGGCTGCGGTGGCCATGAGTGTGCCTCTGCACTCCCCCTGAACAACAGTGAGACTCCAGCTCCAAAAAAAAAAAAAAATACAGTGCACATAACGACTACAATCAAAAGAGAATTTGTACACCAGAACAACAAAAAGGATCCTCTTCCATTCAGGAACCACCAAAAGCATCATGAAGAAAATTAAAACTCAGTTCTTCTTCATAGACTTGTAGTCAAGAAATAATTCAAGATTTAGGCCCAAATTGTGGGCAAATAGTAAAAACCCTAAAACAATAGTAATAGACAGAATATGAATTTTTCTCCTATTTCCCCGTTTCTACCAAGAATAAATCATAATAGGACTAATTTATTTGCAAAATAAATTTTAGTCTCATTACACTTGGCCTGGTTATTTGCATAAGGTGTAGCAAAACTAGTGATTAGCCATATAGGCCAATAAGTTGGCTTTGCTGGAATTTTTTTTTTTTTTTTTTGAGTTGGGGTCTGTCGCCCAGGCATGTTCACGGCCACCACAGCCTCAATCTGCTGGGCTCAGGTGATCCTTCTGCCTCAGGCTTCCAAGTAGCTGGAATTACAGGCACGCACCACTATGCCTGGCTAATTTTTTTGATTTTATTGTAGAGATGAGGTCTCGCCAAGTCACCTAGACTGGTCTCAAACCTGTGGGCTCAAGCAATCCTCTCACCTCAGCCCTCCCAAAGTGCTAGGATTATAGGTGTGAGCTGCCGTGCCCAGCCTACTAGAATTTTTATAAGGATTTTTTTTTTTGAGTTAGAATCTCACTCAGTTGCCCAGGCTGGAGTGCAGTGGCACGCTCCCAGTCATCATTGTAGCCTCGACCTGTTGGGCTCAGGGGATCCTTCGCCTCAGCCTTCCAAGTAGCCTGAACTACAGGCATGCACTACCATGCCCAGCTAATTTTTTGATTTGTTGTAGAGATGAGGTCCCACCATGTTGCCCAGGCTGGTCTTGAACCCATGGGCTTAAGGCAGTCCTCTCGCCTTGTCCTCCCAAAGTGCTGGGTTTATGGGCTTGAGTCACTGTGCCTGGCCAGGATTTTGGATTCAATTTTTTTTTTTTTGCGTCAGAGTCTCATTGTGTCGCCCAGGCTGGAATGCAATGGCATGCTCTTGGCCACTGCAGCCTCGACCTGCTGGGCTCAGGTGATCTTTCTACCTCAACCTTCAAGTAGCTGGAATTAAAGGCATGTGGCACCATGCCTGGCTGATTTTTTCCAATTTATTGTAGAGACAGGGTCTCACCGTGTTGCTCAGGCTGGTCTTGAACCCCTGAGCTCAGGTAATCCTCTCTCCTCCACCTCCCAAAGTGCTGGGATTATAGGCATGAGCCACTGCGCCTGGCTTGGATTCAACTTTTTATTTTTTAATTTTTTTTAACGTTTTTTCTTTCTGAGAAGGGGAAAGAGAAAGGAAGGGGAGGTGAGAAGGAGAGAGGGAGGAGGGGTGGAGGAGAGGGAATGGGTAGGTCATGGATAGGAGAGGATGAAAAACTACTCTTCCAAGTGGACACAGATGAAGAGACAGATGGGGATCTCTGATGAGACTGGAAGGTCCTGGGGTAGAAAAGGGGTAGGGAAATGGAGAGAAGCTTTGGTCCTTCCATAATATCTCTTCCCAAGGAGCAATGCCTGTGGGAGAAGAAAATGTAAGGAGATGGTGATAGTTGCTCTCTTCTGGAGTAGGAGGGTCAGAGGAGTCTGGGAACAGAGAGAAGATAAATTCCCATCAGAGGAGCGTGCTATTTTGACGGACCAGTGCAGGACAGCGGGGCAGCCTTTGTAGACAGGGAGTGAGAGCAGCCACAGCACTGAAGCCGAGGATTCCATGCTGGAGCAAACTTCAGGGTGAGCTGTGTGCTCCAAGCAGGGCCGCAGGTGTGGAATCGGTTCAACTTTTTAAAAGCCTCAAGGCCAGAGCCAAGCCAAGGGAGGATATGTCATTAGACTGTGCTTGTAATACCTATACAAATTCCTCTTGTTTTGAGGTCCCACAGTACCTTGAGGTTCCTAGACCTGTTAGAAAGTGACATTCTTTACTTACTACAGGCCAGGAACCTTGTAAGGGAACCATTTAGACAAAGCACTGGCCAGTCTTTCCAAAGGGTTCTGTAAAGTTGACCTCAATTTCTCAAAGTAGTCTGGTCATATCTGAAAATAAGCCATTCCAGTCAAAGCCTTGATAAAATAACCAGTGTCTCCAACTCCAATTGTGTCCTGTCATAAAACAGACTCTTATTGAACTTATGCAAATAACTATATTACCATAAAATAAGAATATTCACGTATAGTTTCCAAAGTTGAGAACTCAGAGTGAAAGTTACATTCTGCCCACAGAAGTATATTTTACAATCAGAGAAGCAGCCTTCCAGACAGGATGTTGTCCTTTCACCTGGGAACTGCCATCCATAAACCCAGCAGTTCTTTGTCAGTCAGGTGAGAGCTGTTTATTTGGTGCTGTAGAATCCAGCAGCTCTTCACACTGTTCCAGAGTCAAACAGAACTCATATCTGTGTCTCAGGTGGCAGTGAGACAAGATGGTGGTTCCCTGCCAGTGCATGATTGGAGTATATTTTCCCAGGCTCTTTTTTTTTAATGCATGTGCCAACATAGACATGCATTTATTTTATTTTTTTTGAGTTGGGGTCTCACTGTCACCCAGGCTGGAATTCAGTGGGACAATCATGGCTCATTGCAGCCTCAACCTCCTGGTCTCAGGTGAGCCTTCTCTCTCAGCCTCCTGAGTAACTAGGACTACAGGCATGTACCACCATGTCCAGCTCATTTTTTGATTTATTGTAGAGATGAGGTCTTGCTATCACAGGCTGATCTCGAACCCCTGGGCTCAATCTTCTCACCTCTGCCTCCCAAAGTGTTGGGATTACAAGCGTGAGCTACTGTGCCCGGCATGCAAATTTTCTTAAATAAGTTTTAAATACATTTCAGCTTTTTTCACTAGTGACCTTTTAACCACCATTTTCAGTAGCCTTTTATCCCCCTTTCCATCTTGTGTCACTCTGAAGCATTCGATCCTCCTAGCTGTCTTTTGTGTGTTTCTCCCTCATTCTCCCTAAATATAGCCACTCTTCAAGTTTCAGTCCCCATTTTTCCAGGCATTTGCTTTTTATTTCTAGGTAGATAGCCCGGTATCACATGCTTTAAACCATTTTCCCTCTGCTTTTTTTTCTGGAAATGGCTCTGGTATTTCTCTCAGTTACCCTGGTTCTTGGCTTCCATATCTTCTTTGCTTGGGCTCTTCTCTCTCCTTTGGTCCTTGCACCTGAGCTGTCACCAAGACATTGTTAGGTTAGTATGCTCTTGGCCAGTCTTCAGACTTCCTCCTCCTGTCTCCCTCCATCTTGTGTTGATGAAATTTCATAATTGACCTTCATCTTGCTCAGACTCCCTTGCAAGATATTTAAGATTCTGCATTCTGCTTTCAGTTTTTCTTTTTACTCCTCTTGCACTATTTCTTCCTCCTCTCTCTGCCTCCCAGGAACACTTAGGCCAAAGCCAAGCTGGCTCATTTGATCTGTCTCCTGTGCATACCCTGGGCTTGACTCTCTCTTGGCTCTTCCCCTGCCATCCTAGACTGCCCTCTGGATGCTTGCCTGGTGGGACTTGATGATGAGTTGGATTGGAGCTCTGGTAATCCTGACAAAATGCCGTCTTCTATCTCATGTGGAGGTCCTGCTGACCCAGGAGAATGTGCCCTTTATAGTCACAGAGCAGAGCTCCATGGAATGGGCCTCTTGCCCCTACTCTCACCCAGTCCTTATGCTACTATGGAGAAAGTTGTCAGCTCCCCTGAAGTCCTGACTGCAAGGAACTGGAAGGTAGACTGGTGGGGTGTGTACAGCGGTAGGTTGGGAGTTCGTTCTGCACCACCTGTGTGGTTTCAACCCTTTGGGTGTGTGGTGGCTTCTAGGCCTCATTTTTCTCATCGGTGAATTGTGCTTGGACCACTGCATGACCTACTAAGCCCTTTCTAATTCTGTAGGAAGTATGCCCTCTAGAAAGCCTCTGGTATTGTTAGGAGTAAAGAAACTTTACTTAGAGTTTCAGTGGAACTACTCCTTTCCATCAGGGGAAGGAAGGCACAGGTGCACGTGTGGGAATGCTCCCAGCTAGAGAATGCTCAACTGGGTGCAATGGCTCATGCCTGTCATCCCAGCACTTTGGGAGACGGAGGTGAGAGGATTACCTGAGCTCGAGTTCGAGGCCAGCCTGGGCAACATGGTGAGACCTTGTTTCTACAACAAATAAAAAAATTAGCTGGGTGTGGTGGGACACACCTGTAGTACCAGCTACTTGGAAGCCTAAGGGGAAAAATTGCCCGAGCCCAGCATGTTGAGGCTGCAGTGGCTGTGAGCATGCCACTGCACTCCAGCCTGGGTGACAGAGTGAGACTGACTCCGAAAAAAAAAAAGTGTTGCCCATCCAGGGCTTACCAGGTGTGTCTACTGGCAAGGGGCAGCCACCCTTCCCTTGACCTTGACTCCTCCATCTTTATATGACTTGGTTAGATCAGCCCCCCCACATGGTCCTTACAAAATTGGAGTTAAAGTGACTGTGATTCCCTATTCTAGGTCAAAACTGATGTCTTCTGATAACTTAGCAGAGAGCCCTCAGCTTCCAAAGGTAAGAACATCATTAGAGCTAATAAAGGACTGTGAATTCCAGAGTTGCCTGCAATGTTACTCATTAGCCAAGAAGTCCAGTGGTCTCTGCATCAAGAGTTGTAGACTCAGGAATTCCAGGGCCGACTGGGGAACTTAAGTGTGCACTGCAGCAGGCTGGCATCATTTCCCTTCAAAGAGCTGCGTGGACCAAATGTAGCATGCCTGAGGCTACCAATTTACAGTCTGTGCATGGACTATACTTAGGAGTTATCATCAAGCCACATGTGTATCAACTGTTATGTGCTTGGGGTTGGGGAATATAGAACCACTTAATATAAATTAAGATTGAATTGAGATAGGTAAGCCTTGCCTCTGAAGAGCTCACTGTGAGATGAGGCGCTGCCATATATTGTGTAACTCCAGCCTCACATGCATTCAGGTGTCTTTGAGGCCTCTACCACCACCCTACAAGGCAAGTACTGTGGGCTCTGTTTTGCACGTGAAGAAATATGTGGTTCAGAGAAGTGATGTGCCTGAGACAAAACAGCTTGCAGGTGGAGAAGCCAGGCAGAATTCAAACCCAGAGCTCTGGGATCGCAGCCACGCACTGCCCCTCCTGCCTTGCTGTCTGCATGTGTGGACAGACATGCACAGGTTTCATGCCAAGAGAGGCAGGCATGGACACAGAGTCTGGGCACGTGGAGCTGGCAGAGATGACTCACTTGGAATTATGGAGAAGCGCCGTGGGGAGGTGCCATTTGGGGCAGCTCTGAAGCATGGGTGGGAGTTCACCTCTGGGGAGATGAGTTCTGTGTACAGGGGACAGTGTGAGTGAACATGGAATGCTTGCTGGGCTTGGGGATGTTGGAGAGCGGCTGGTGTGCCTGGAACATGCTGGATGCTTGAAATTAGGTAGGTCAGAGCTGGCTGTAAAGGGCTTTGAACACCACGCTCAGGAGCTGTGAGTGGAGAGTGTCAGAGCCAGGGTAAAGTCATAGACCAGATTTGCCTCCTGGAAAGATGATTGGTGCCAGTGTTGTGGGGTGGATTGGAAGGGAAGGCCAAACTCTGGTCTTAGGGAAGGTTGTTGAACTTGTCCCAGCAAAGTCCCAGGGTTCAGGGTGGGTGGGGAGTGGTTGAGGAGGGTTTGCATGTAGATGGATCCCTGTAAAAATCGACAGGAGGGACAGTGAGAATACAGAGCTCAAGGTGGTGCTGTGGGACCTGAGTAGATGGTGAGAGCATTAACTTGCTGTCTGATGGGCTCATGGAGGCAGGGACCCTCCCTGTGTTCACTGCTGGGTCCACAGTGCCTGGACTCGGTAAATGTATGTGACCATGGAAGTTCACAGGAGGGTGGGCCTATTTGCTCTTCAGGTGGGGCTGAGGTGCAGACCTAGCAGCTCAGTCCCTTGTCCCTTGACTTTTTGAGCAAAAGTCCTGACTGCCCAAGCCCAGAGCAGTGCATCTCGGGCATCTCAGCAAAACTACGTGTTTGCCACTTGGGCATCAGATTGTCCACACTCGGAGTCTTGTGGAGAGACAGGCTTCAATGACCAGAGCCTTTGATGACTGGAGCATGTGCTCCGTGTCCAAATGAGTCACATGGGGAGCTGAGGAGAGGAAGCGTTGTTGAGGGAAGTGGGGGGAGGCTTTTGGGGGGGACCTGGGAGGGATGAGAAGAAGCAGGATGTAAGGGAGAGCCCCCTATTGGGGGCCTGTGGGATGCTGGTGCATTGGTAGCAGGCAGGACTGGGGTGGGTGAGCTGACCTGGGATGGGGGGG